TTACAAAGAGAAACGCTGTAATCACCTAGATAAACCTGAAATAACCCTGAGAGAGACTTGTCAAGTCCAGCCGTGTCCAGAGCAACCAGAATGGTATGCCTCTCCTTGGTCGACTGTAAGTTGTTATCACCTTTTATACATGTAGTTGTCCATGCTATATCATTATTTGAGATTCTGGTTTTGGGAAATTTTGTCTTTGTTTAGAAATAGAAAACATTTACACATCAAATTGGTGAGACCAGACATTATATTCTTGGTTTCAGTCATGTGGGATTAATATAGTAATGGAACTTACAAGTTATCCAGGGAAGTCGATTATGTGAATTTTCCACCGAAATATGGTAATAAAACGTTAAAATCGCCATAAAAGCATTGACAAACAAACAAACAAACAAAATCTTTGCTAATTGTAATAATGTAGTTACTTGTCTATACCACAAGTTTGCTGTAAGAAAACAGCCGATTTAAAAGAAATATGAAGAAAATTCTAAAGTTATATAAAAACAGTTCTAAAGTAATGATTTTTTTGATTCATCACTTTATCAACGTAGTGCAGAAAAGGTTAAATTAAATCCTATTAAATAACAATACCAGGAGTCAACCTATTTACTAGTATGCACAAAGATGACGATTTTTATCAAATTAATGAAGTAATCTTATTGTTTTCAGTATTCAGTGTCATGTGGACGTGGTCAGCAGACGCGACTGGGGTTATGTATCATCGAAATACAGAAGCGTGCTACTCTGTGACCAGTCTGCAAAAACCCCTAGGGAACAAAACTGCTTTTAGAACCGGTAAAAAGTTGTTTTAGTATTTTTTGCTTTCCTTGTTGAACTGCCCATCATACTTTATGGTTTCAAGTTGAAATTAAAAGGTATTGAAACATGTTAAGATTTTGGCTGGTAGAAAAGGTGGGCGGTGTGGTTTTAAAAACCCCATCGGGGGGCAACCCTTTTTGTTAACTTCGCGGAACTTCACAGTCATTGTTTAGTACTGGTTGGCGCAAGGCACAGATTCAATAATGTTTCAATAAGCATATAGCTTCCAATAGAATCAGCACAAATTTGTATAAAATATTAACAAAAGGTTAAGCACTTTTGGATCTAGCATATTTATGGTTAAATAAACTGTATCTATTTTTTAGATTTTAACACGTTTTATTTTTTTCTGTTTCAGGTCCTTCATGTTTCAGTTTTCCTGTTGTCATCTCGTGCCAAAACACAATATCTGTAATCATTCTTTCTACGGGACCAAGTGTTGTCTCTCTCAAAACAAAATTAATAAAGTATAATAATTATGTACTATTTAAAAGTATTTCAAGTTACTACATGTTTTTCATTTTATTATATATTCATAAATGAACTACATGTATTGAGAAATATTGATGACATGAAATGCGTTTTTTCATTTTCTGTATTTTCATTGTAAAAAATTACTTTTCGCTGTTTTAGTGAAATATATTTTCCGTATCTTCACTGGTGTATTGCCAGACTACTTTCTTCTAACTTCAGCTAAAACACAACATTTAGAGTGAAGTCTTCCAAAATTGTAATGATGTAAAAGAGTAAAATGTATATAACAAACAGAAAATGTAAGGTTTTTCTATAAACAAAATACGTACAGGATTTATTTTCATCTTGGGGTTATGCAAATTATCATATTTCACTCATGAAATATATGTTTTCACATTACTCTATGAAATAAGTCCTGTTTTTATAATTAATTTTTGATTAATCTAAACCTTTTGATGACTTTTTACACTCAATTTTTATTGGCAAGGATCCCAGCATTGATTAAGTAAAGTTTTCTTCTATAATTCATCTACAATATTTGTGTATTTCTGTATATATTTATTATGTTCTGATTTATTTTGATAATTATTATAAGTGTTTGTTATATTATTAGTGTATTTTATGTATTATTTGTACATGTATATACTATTATTATATTTGACATATCGCTTCACTAACTGTTGACTTCTAAATACTCATGTAACATTTGAAAACATATGTTTATTAAACATTCACTCTGTTACAAAAACATGTTCATATAGAAAGTCTTTGCTGATAGACTGTGATTTTAATTTTCTTAACTCAACTGTACCTTGACCATGTGGGAACACTAGGAGATTTAAAGTGTAAAAAATCATATGAAGGAATCAGTGGAAATAGGCGTGGCTAACCAACATACCTTTTATCTGTCTTGGGTAGCCACGCCTATTTCTATTGATTTCATCACACTACTATTCAATTTCATCAGTAAGTTGATTTAAATAAGTAAGTTAGTTTAACCATCTTAGGAATTTAACTTGTACTGTGTAGTACATTTGTAAAAGTAACAGAAATAAGCGTGGCTACCAAACCCCCTTTTTTAACTGTGAAATTATTTTCTTTCTTATGAAACAAGACAGTACTGATTGTTTGAAGCAATAGAAATAGGCATGACATAACCCAACCCATCTTATGTGTGTTTATGAAGTTTTATGATACATTAAAAATAGGCATAGCTACCCAACTCATTTTTGATCAGTTATAAAATTTTTTAACTACTATTGTTTAATGGATATGATTAAAGTAGGTGTGACACATAATGTACCCAAGCAGTGGTTCACTCTGGAAATAGGTACTGTTTGACATAAGCATGTACATGTTTCGATTCTCTTTATTTTTGGAAATTTTCACTATATGAAAACAGTTTGACAATGAAATGGTATTGTTCATATAAAAGGAAAACGTGCTCTCAGAATGATGGTAAATTGAGGTCAAAAGTTGAGCAAAACTATTTGTCCCTAGCTTGTGTAAGTTTGTTTAAAACTTATATATCCTGGAAAGAGGGAATATATACCTGATATTTATAAATCACGGGGGTTATTTTAATCCCCCCTTCCCAAAGGATATTTTTACGGGGAATTAAACCCTTTTGGGGCTTTTTCAAATTGCCCAACACAAGGGTTTAAAACCATTCCCATTCATTTTAGAAAAATTTTTTTTTAAATTTAAATGGAAAAATGTTTTTGTAAAAAAACCTTTTTTGGGCGGGCCCTTTACTTAAACTTTATAAAAATAAAATGCAAGATTGCAAGTCAAAAAGGGTTTTTCAAAATAAAGAAATTTTTTTTAGATTTTATGCTCCTTGTAAGCCCCACAAAGAGAGAGAAAAGGGAAAAAAATATATAAACCGTTTTTTTACGGACTTCCGCCCCCGCCCTTTTTTCCCTTGTCCCCGGATATAAGTCTTAAACTACAAGATGTATCAACAAGAAACTTTGTAGGTAGATAGATATTATTGCGTAGATGTGCAGTGCAAAAGAAACGTAACTATGCATTGCCTGTTTTTGAGTAATTGCCCTTTGTTAATTTTTACACTTAGAATTTTGTTTGGTATATAACACTAAGATAAAACTATAAGAGATAAGTTCTTGCACATTATACACACGTTTTTTTTTTATAAATGTCATGACCCTTGAATAAAAAACTATTGTGTGTGTGTGTGTGTGTGTGTGTGTGTGCGTGTGTATGCGTGCGCGCGTGTGTGTGTTTGTTGCCAGCTACAAAGAAACTTGTCTTGACTATTCGACAGGCCAGGTCGACAGTTTCAAAGATGATGCTTATGAAATACAATGTGAAAATACTACATTGATGGTTGTGTCTAGTCATAATTTTTGTCAGACTTTTTTTGAAAACTTGGGCTAACTTAGAATTTGAAATATTGTTTATTAATGTTTCTTTATCATTGAATTTTTTTTTTATTTTAACCATAACTTTGATGCAAGTCAAGGTCATGGATCCCCTACTTGGCCCTGCTTTAGGAACATTTTTCTGTTTCAAATGACAGTTCGTCATTTGGCAATTTTTCTGTCCATAACTTTGTAAATGGGGTAACTTTTTTTGAAAAAAATGTATCCAATAAAAATCTGGGCCAGGAGAATTTGTGTTTACCAAACAGATTCTTATATAAAATAGTCCCGAAATAAAAAAATAATTAAACCTGGTTTAAGCTTCTTTATATCACAGACACATTTTTACAGTGTATAGATATTGTATGAGACTTTTATTTACTTTTTATTGGCATTTGCTATCACCATTTTACATTTGTGTATGATTGCATGCTAGACAACAGAGATAATGAGAAAAAGTCTAACTAGCCCCCAAACCCACTCTCTTCCCCTCTGGTCAGTGGGTCTTGTATTTCAACACATTATAATTCATATACTTTTCAGCTTGTCTCTTTTTTTTATCAGTGTTGGGTACAAAGGTGCAAAATGTCTCCTTGCAGATCCAAATTAAAGATACGCAATTTTGTTTGGTATTGAATACAATTTAATAAAATCTCAGTCATTCATGATACATTTTGAATCAAACAATACTTATCTTAAATATGAACAAAATTGAACTCAACTCTGGATAATATTTCATATTACAGTCACACCATAATTATATAACACATAATATAAGCAGTGAAGTATGATACAAGCATTTCTTCTTTATCTTAACATAATAAAATTTCATTATCACATACACGAGGCGCTTTAACGGCCCCGTAAAATGGCATTGCACGGCCTTGCAGGTATTTTGACGTACGACCATAGCGTTAAGATGCACTAAATGTTAGCGTTATATTGTAGGTACATCAATTAAAAATGGTATTTTTTTTAATTCAAAAGGTCTTTGTTTTTGGTATGTGAAAAAAGAATATTAAATTTGTGTGAGTTCATTACTGAAAATTATTGAACTTGTTGGATATGAATTCAGTTAAAACTTACACTCATTCATTATTTTTGTTCATTACAAGTAAACTATTCAGAGCATATTCCAAATTCTACAATGTTTGAAAAAAAGATGTTGTTTCCAATAGGAATTAATATTTATGGAAAGCATAAAAATGTGTTCATTAAAATTTGGGGATTTTCTTTGTTGTCAAACAATTTCTGATAATAGTATGTGTAAATAGCCCAATTCTTTTATAGTTAGTTTAATAACAATATTTGATGGGTGTATTTTCATTGGATATACAGTAAATCATACACATCAACTGTATCACTGTTGTGAATAGTAACCGCCAGTCTGTTATGTTTTAAATGAAAAGCACAAGAAGTACTATTCAAAACTTTGCCAAATATGCCCAATATTTTACTAGTCTTCTCGTTGATCTGGACAATTTTAGACTCATACCATCCAAACATAAATATGTTTCCTCGTTTGTCTGTACAAACTCCAATTGGGTTAATAACATCCGGATCAGTAATTGTTGCCTTGAAATTACCATCAAGGTCAAGGACAATAAGACTGTTATAATTAGCCACATAAATCATATTGCCATCACTGCTAACACTAATATCTCTGTTGGCATTAAAAATTTCATTGCCTTGTCCATCAGTTGTGATTTTTTTCAACAGGGTGCCATTCATATCATAAATGTAGAGCGCACTACCAGAATCAGAGATGAATAGTTTGTTGTCTTTGTAGGCCAGTCCGTAACAGCGATGATCTAGCTTCAGTTGTTTGGTGGTATAAACTTTGTTGCCTATTGTAACAAATTGAACGGTTTGATTGGTCAAACTTACTGCAAAGTCGTTTGTACTTATTTGACAAATTTTCATTGGAGCTGCTTCAAGATTTAGCTGATCTTTTATGGATTCTGAGGACAAATTAATAAGCTTTAATGTGTTGTTGACATAGTCAGTTAGAAATAATAGTTCATTATCTATGAAACATGAACCATTAACGGAACATTGCCGTAGATCATTAACATGTTTAATGTTGACTTGTTTCTTTCTCTCCACAATATACATTTTGTCTCTTAGATTTTCAGTATTACTTACTGCAATTAATCCAAATGTCTTGAAGTCTTTTAAAACATCCTTTATTGTCGAATCAGCAATGAATTCAACTTTAACATCTGATGACTTTGTCACAGACTGTGCTTCTGCTTCAGTAGCTTCAATGATTTGTTTCCGAGAAGTTTTCACAGCGACAAACTCCTGTGCTTTATTCCCAACTGACTTTGTTAGTTTTTGTGATGATAGTTTTAGTTCATCAATATGTCTATGTAGGTTTTTGATCTCGTTCCCTAGTTTTTCTTTGCTATTTTTGTACTTTTCCTCTAAAGTTTTTAATGTCGACTTTTCAAATGTGTCAAGTATTTCTTCTATTTCTTTTCTAAATTGTCTTATTGACTCTGTTGCCTTCTCCTTCTGTACATTGAGCTCTTTGATAAGAAGTTTCTTTGCTCTCTCAGCCTCCTCAATTTTAGTTTTTATACGAATGAGCTCACTGATTGTTTTATCAGCATCAATCTCCTTACACAAGTAATCAACATCACCTGGTATCGAATGTATATGTTGACATTTTCTGAAGATTTGAATGTAAAAAAACTAAAATTATGAGAATGATTTGTGATATTAGTTAAAGGCCCATTTAACTTTATAAATGCTTTTTAAAAAAATACTAAAATTGTGAGAATGATCTGTTATATAAGATAGATAGATAGATAGATAGATAGATAGATAGATAGATAGATAGATAGATAGATAGATAGATAGATAGATAGATAGATAGATAGATAGATAGATAGATAGATAGATAGATAGATAGATAGATAGATAGATAGATAGATAGATAGATAGATAGATAGATAGATAGATAGATAGATAGATAGATAGATAGATAGATAGATAGATAGATAGATAGATAGATAGATAGATAGATAGATAGATAGATAGATAGATAGATAGATAGATAGATAGATAGATAGATAGATAGATAGATAGATAGATAGATAGATAGATAGATAGATAGATAGATAGATAGATAGATAGATAGATAGATAGATAGATAGATAGATAGATAGATAGATAGATAGATAGATAGATACATACATACATAGATACATACATAGATACATAGATAGATACATAGATAGATAGATAGATATTTATTTATTTAGGTTAAACACACATATACATAATACAAACACTTAAGCATTTTATATAAAACTGATGACACAATTGTAATAAAATATTTCGGAAGTTTGTCAAACTTAGATATCACAGACGGCTCATTAAATAATAGAAATTAATAACTAAAAATAAAATCTAAAACTCTTTCTTTCCTATGACTCTGATTAAGAGGTTCTGATTTAGTAGCCAGAATATAAAAAAAACTCAGAGCAAATGTTTACAATAACAAGACGTTATGTCACGTGCAAGAACTGTGTGGCTAGGTCAAAGGTCAAGGTCATATTTTAAGGTTAAATACAAAAGAGAGGTCTCAAACAACTTGTCCGCACCATTTCCTACCACTTTGTCGTGGAATTTCAAATAACCTGGCACAAATGCTCAACATCATGAGATGTTTTGCCTCACTCAATAACAGTGTGGCTAGGTCAAAGCTCACGGTCATACTTTAAGGTCAAATGCAAGAACAGCTTGACTACACCATATTCCTACCACTAAGTCGTGGAATGTTTAAAAACCTGGCACAATGCTCAACATCATAAGATGGCGTGTCACACTAAATGACAGTGTGGTTAAGTTAAAGGTCTAGGTCATACTTTAAGGTCAAATGCAAGAAAAATGGTCTCAAAAAGCTAAACCGCACCATAACTTTATCACTATCTGGTGAAATTAAAAATAACCTGGCACAAATGTTCAATATCATGAGTCGGCATGTCGCACTAAAGAATTGTTGACTACGTCAAAACTCAAGGTCATACACAAAGGTTAAATATGACAATGGGCTCAACATGTTGCCCTTAGTCATCTAGTTTGTTATAATACTGGTCCAGATAACTTCACTTATTAATTTTGATATTATATGAACTGGACTTAAAACTGAATGAAAATGAGCGTGTGCTTTTATGTGCTTTATGTTTTCTACAAACTTGTATAATAATAACATAGATATGAATTGTTTTAAATTCAGTTTCAGGTACATGTACATTGTTTGAAAAATGCAACTGCCTTATCATTTAATTTCAATTCAGTTAAATAATATTATTAAAGTATCAAACCTGTGTTTTATGGCTATGCAGGTCACACATGCTACATCATCGTGGTCCGCACAATACATATCTAGCAGCTCGGTTTTATGAGCTTCACATTTTTCTGGCAACGCTTTCTGTAAGATAACTGTGTTGAAACTTGATTTGTCTATAAACTGATGCGTGCTCATCAAAGGAAACATTTTGTGCAGGTCTGTACATGGTGAACAGTAATATTCCTGACATTCCACACAATAAATATCCGCCTCTTTTTTGATATTTTTCTTTTCACATTGAACACATTTAAAGTTGACAAGTTCAGTACCTCCGTCTGCCATTTTCTACAATATCGTTTTTTTAATTCCCTAGCTAATACAAAACATAACTGAGTGTACTAATGTTTAAATTCTAATTGTAAAACACCGTTATTCGTTTTATTCAGAGGTGATATGAATAGTGCATCCTAGTTTTTTTTATCTAGATATATCTACTGATAGCATAATCAGTGTAACTGTATTTGACTTTGTGATAAGAGGTATTTATAAATCGTGTACATGTATTATAAAATGTTATTTGAAAATATTAGGTCACTAAAGAAAGCTTGGTACTTAAATCGCAATGCAATGACTTAGTTCACGGTTTATATATTACTTATTTAAGTAATATATATTAAAACTTTCATAAAACGCAATTTGTGTCATTTTTAATATTTACAAAACACAGTTATTTAAGGCATAAAAGTAAAAAAAAAGCAATTATTAAGGGTAGTTAGGTACAGACTTTAAACATAGTCTATTAAATTATTGTGTATTGATCGTAGTAACCATATAGTTTATATTTCTTTATTTGATAAAGAAACCCTGATTATGCCATATACATATAGTGTTACCCTGCCCGTTGATGAAATTTTTAGTTTCTGTTCATTATCTTCCCAAAGGTATAACACATTCAATTCAAATTTGACATATTGATTCTGCAAAAAATGCGCGAGCCAAGTTCAAATTTGGTCATGATTCGATGATTTTGGGCAGAGTTATGCCTCTTTCACATTGAAAATAGTAAGAAACTTTCAGTTTCCTTTCATTATCGCCAGAACAGTATTTCACATTCTTTTCAAATTTTACATATGGATACGTCAAAGAAATGCGCAGGTCAAGTTAGAATTTGGTCATGATTTGATGACTTTTAAGAGAGTAATGCCCCTTTAATTTTGAAAAAATGGAAATTTTCAGTTTCGTTCAATTTTGCCCAACTGTATTACACATTCAACTCAAATTTGACATATTGATATGTCAAATGAATGGACAGGTCAAGTTAATATTTGGTCATGGTTCGATGATTTTTGGCAGAGTAATGCCCCTTTAACTTAAACCTTTAAAAAAAGGGAAATTCTCAGTTCGAATTTGGTCATGGATTATCCCTCTTAAACTTTGATAACAAACTTTCAAAAAGAAAAGAATTTTTTAGTTTCCGTTCAATTGTTGTACACATTAAACTCAAATTTGACGTATAGATACATCTTAGGAATAAGCATTTCAAGTTTGAATTCGGTCCTGGTTCAATGCTTTTAGACAAAGTTATCTCTCTTGAATGTTTATAAATTTTGCAATTTTAGTTTCAGCACTCATACTTCTGTGGAAATGTATGTCTTGTATGTAGTCATTATTTTGGCTTAAAATATGCAATATGCAATTTACAAAAGGTACTTTACTGAATAGTTTCAGTGCCTTGAACTTTGTATGAAAATGTTTTGTGTTAGCATTGAATCGTTTTAAGAAAACAAAATTGGGCAAACAAATTTGGAACTAAATATTATAACATCTGTAATTCTGGCTGCATGCGAGGACATCCGTGGCGTGACAATGCATTTGTAGTTGATCCCTTGGCCTACAATTTCTGTTTAAGCCTTAGTGTTTATGATGTTTAATCTTGAATTTATTTACTTTCTTTATAAACCTGATGAAGACTCACGAGAGTGGAAACCTTGGTTATCGTCATTTAATAAAACCTTATAATAAGTCCTGCTTTGATCGTTTGTTCCTCTGGCATCAATTGTCTTAGTATGTTTTCATGTTAACTGATTATATTGAGGTTTATCATTTGTGTTTACAAACGTAGCTGGTGTCATGTATTGCTTACGTCTCCCATCTTAATACAATATCTAAATATAAAGATCTATATACTCGGAATAGTACGCATTTGATAAATGATGCACCTGTTTTGCACCTCTTATATCACTAATGCAATTTTAATGAAACTTTACTTGATTGATCAGTAGCTCAAGTAATTGGACGTATTATACGAGTTTTTGGCTTGAATGTTTTTATCAAGTTATGGCCCTTGAATACAAAAGGTGTTTTTGTGTTGCCAGCTACACAGAAACTAGTCTGTACTACTCTTCAGAAAATACTTGTGCAAGTTCATCTAGTAAACTAAACAGAAATGATCAGTACTAAATTTAGTTGTGCATATCGTTAGCATTTTCCGGTTCAATGCTTTTTGTAAGTCTATGAGTTATTACTTTTAATACTACTCCTCTGATACAACTGATGCATTTCAGTAGAACTACATGTTTGATCGGTAGCTCAAGTATTTGAACATATTACACGGGTCTTCCGCTTGAATGGTTTTAGCCAATTTATGGCCCTTGAATACAAAAGATGTTAAGTTTGTTTGAATTACTCCTCTTGATTACAACTAATACAATTTCATTGAGACTTTACAGGATTGATCGGTTACTCAAGTTGTTGCGAATATAACACAGGTTTTCTGGCTGAAAGATTTTTTGGCTGAGTTATGGCCCTTGAAAAAAAAGTATTTTTAGTTTCCAGCTACACAGAAGCTTATCTGGACTACTCCTCAGAAACTGCTGGTCCAATTTCCCAAACTTTACAGAAATGATGAGTACCATGTCTAGTTCTGCATATCATTGGCAACTTTACAGGAGGATTGATCGGTAGCTCATGAAGTTGCGCATTTTACACTGGTTTTCTGGTTGAATGATTTTGGCGAGTTAATTATTGCCTTTGAATAAAAAGCGCATTTTGTCCTGTTAATGAGTTATGTGTCTCCTGTTACACAGTAGCTGTGACATGTAAATGGCTATCATGTGGCGACACATGTGATCACTGGTCGCTCTTTCGTTATTATGTAACTGTATTAAGTAAAATGAAAAAATGGATTCATTAAGCTCTGCTATTAAAAACTCAATGATCACAATACACCGATAAACACTTTCCCCAACTAGCAGACGACAGGCTTTTCTTATCAGTAGGTTTTCGAGTAAAGATAACCAATTGGTAATCTCACTTTATAAATCGTATGTAAAATGGGCTGACATTTGGTAGGTTTAACAGTTAATTTAAATACTTTGGTGTCAAAAGATATGTAAAATTATTTACTTTGACAAAGCTAAGATCCCAAGCTTTCCATTGTAATAATAATTTTTAAAATCGGACATTTAATCACAACAAACTAGCGGTTTAAAAATGGCTTAATTAGTATTGTTTTAGCGTATGAGGTACCAATTTTACTCGAAGATAAGGGAAACAACTTGTATTTTTTCACTCGATATACCTCGGTTATTTACCTAGTTCATATGAAAAGTGTTTATGGGTGTATTCTGATCTAAATCATATTTTCTAGAAAAAAGCAAGCTATATCAAAATCAAGGGCAACTTTATTGTTATTATCTCAAGTATTTTCTATTGCTCCTCATTATTTTTCAGTGGAGTATTTAGTTGTCAGTTAGTATATATGTTTGCTTTCTTCTCTCTTCAAACACAATTAAAAAACTGTGCCCCATAACACTATCCCCTATTGGTTATTGTTTCAGATATTTGATGTTTTTTTTTCTACGGGTCTCAACTTTGAGTGCGTTTTGAACTTTCAGGCTCATTGGATTCAGTGTAAATGAGGCTAAAAATAAGTTTTGCTTCTTTTCCACCATATTAGCCGGGTTGTACATGTGCAAACCCGGATTATAATTATGGTGAAAGTTGGATGCCGTGCGGGCGGGCTTGCTGTAGGTGTGTGGGAAAAAAATCAAAACAGTCTTCTCAAGAGAAACTTATTACAGCTACTTGATATCTAGTAAAAAAACATTAACACGTGATCCCATACCGTGGGATTTAATTCGAGGTATGTCGATCACTTCCTGTTTTATTAACTAAGTTTAACCATTAATGGTCAATGGTAGAACATTTTCGTAACGTCACAGCCTCATGATATTTGGTATACAAATTTAAGCTGGCCTTTCTGTCTTTGACCCATTTTTATTAATTTTGAAACAGTAAAATTGAAAGTTACTGATATTACTGATATTTTATTATATTCTCGTATTACAGATGGTTTGGCGAGCCATGGAGTATGTGTCACAAATCTTGTGGAGGCGGTCATCATAAAGTACGTAAAATATACTGCCTACAGAAACTATTTAAGACAGAAGATAGGAAAGTACCGAGGAAATGCTGTGATGCTGAACAGAAACCTGTCAGAAAGATAGAATGTAATACTCAGGAATGTCCCCTTGTCTAGTATAAATACCCATCCCATGGTCCCAGGTAAAGTTAACCTTTATACAGCACTTTGGAACCAAAGACAATCAGATTTTTGTTACCAATAAAGAGCCAGAACAGCCTGCATCTCAGTGCAGTCGGATGTGCAATCTGACCAGGCTCTATGCTGTTGGTAGCTTAATATTTGTGGTATTGAAATCCCTTAATTTTTCAATTGACAATTCCAAATTCAAAGCAGGGCAACGAAAGTTTGCAGGCGAGACGATGACCTGACCCAACAGCTAAATGGGCAAATACTGCTTGGAGTGAGGTATTGAAATTACATATTAAAGAATTTCTTTAATTATTATTTACATTGTTGTCTTCAACAGCTGTGAAATAGATTGACAAAAACGAAGACTGTATAGTAATTATGTGAATTATTTAGAGGAACTCCACTTTGGTCCAAAAGCCTTAAAGAAACAACATGAATTTCTTAAATAGATCAGCTGGGACAGTTAAACAAAAAAGATATGCAACAGATAAAAAGGAATTAACCCAGAAATAAATTGAAAATCATAGTTTTGTGCAATCCTCAGCTAGTTATGTATGAAAAGGGTTGCAACGGTTTTCAATTTAGGAAATTTTTTCAAAGAACAATAATAAGAAAAGGATCTGAAATTTTAAACACAAAGTTTTGATCTAGATTGACATGAATAGAAAATAAATCTGTAAAAACTATTTCCAATCCCATCATGTCACAAATTCTCAGTGAAGTCCCTTTAAGATCTTAAAAAAATGATTTTTCTTATATTTACATTGCTAGATTATTCAAATTTGGT